TCGTGATTAAAGATCACAAAAACAGAATGAGATTTCTTATTAACATGGTAGTTCCTGCATATTTTAATGTATTTTTGAAGATCTTTGAAAAACAACCAAAATACAAGAATCTTGAAGCATGAAGTACAGGAGATCATCAATAATTCCAGATGTAGTTGGAGCCCTCGGATTGAATGAAAAAGGTTCCAATAGACTCATTAAAGGGACCCCTGACAGCGTATTCCTTAAAGAATACAAAATAAATGTACTCACAAGTACAGCTCACAATTTCCTGAGCATTTAAAAAAAAAAAAAAAAAAAACAACCTAATCAGGCCTCTACAACAGTCATCCTTGGTTACAAGTGGCCAGCCGTTTTTTTTAAATTTTTTTAAGTGTCAGCCATTACAGTAAAGCAAGGCTCTAATAATATAATATAGAAATTATACTAATAATGAATAATATCTGATAAAAAAATTAATGGTTTTAAAATATTCGCCCACTCGTCTATACACAAAGATACTTTACTTTGGGTCAGCAGAGTAGTTGAGAATAATTAGTGAACCATAATGATAACTCTTTATAGAAAGCCTGAAAGAAATTTGGTGTTTTAGACATTCGATTTATTGAACATTTCCTGAATTTGGTCGGATATTACACACACCTATCGAAATGATGATGCCAGGATACTCAGTCTATACAATTGCCAAGTGAATTAATCTGGTTTAGCAATAAAATATTCAAATATACGATTATTCTTTTTCCTAAATGTTTGGTAAACAAAACAAATTATACGTTTACCGCGAATGAAACCCAGTTGTTAATGGATCAAAATAATTCGCTAGAAAATCCAAAAACACAATGAAGCCGTAGCATAAACTTGAATAAATAATACAAGTATAGCTTTGCCAAAAAAAATAAAAAATATCTACAGACAGAAAGAAACAAATTAAGTATGACCTGAGGTCACCACTTGCCAAGTGTACTTCTGATAACACGATTACAACGAAGTGGTTTGTGCATTTATGATAGCAGCTCTTTATTCGACAGAGAAGCAACACTGAAACGGGCCATGAACACATGAGCTGTTGTGAACCATGTCCAGAATAATAATGTCTTGCTTGCGCAGCGTCATATTGGGCCTACGCGGCCTCTCTATCATTACAATTATCGGGAGACACTATTATTCGTGCGCAAGTGGTTATATGGCTTAGCTTTCGGTGAACTATGCCAGGTTCATTGGTAAGACTTGGGCAATTGTGAAACGGTTCGTTACGCCCCCAAGATTTTGATCTCTTGGGAAATTACAGGCGTTTCCTTCAGCTTGTGATAAATGTTAGGAAACCTGAAGAAATATTAAACCCTACAACAAGCGTCGATACCAGCATCGTATACATCTTTTTGCAGTGAGATAGATATATGTAGACATCAATGCATAGACAACACATACATATGTGTGTGCGTGTCACTGTGTATGTAAATATTATCTGATGGAGTATATATTTAGAAGAGACAAAATGAATGAAAAAACAAGAGGAAAACTATACTTTAATTAACCAACGCGTTTCGCCATTCGGTGGAATATATCAAGGTTTAGTACATATTTTTAGAGTTATTCAAAATTTCCAAATTTAAGAACGTTCAAAAATAGTCAGCAACATTCTATATGACGTAATCTAGGATCTAACACCTAAATCTTTTCAGTTAACTTTGCCTTTTCATTCATATATATATATATATATATATATATATATATATAAGCGAACACTTAGAGGCGACAGACTGTTTTTTTTTTTTGCTAGACGAAATCGGTGGCTTGATGATTTCGTCTAGCATGAAACAGACTGTCGCCTCTAAGTGTTGACTTCAATGTTCACTTTTATATTTACACACGCTCTCTCTGATCCCAAAAATATAGCACACCTTAAGAGTATATTTCTTCATATATATATATATATATATATAATATTAAGTAATTCATCGAGTCTAGAAAAACCGCAACAGAATGCAGAAAGCACTGCACGGCCGTTTCGTCCTATATTTGGGACTCATCAGCAGTGCGCATCCACTACCGAGAATTGAAACCCGGACAGTTACGTTATCAGGCAAACATCATACCAACTGTTCGGAGGCCCGTTGGAACAGCTGGTCTGAGGTTTATGATCTTTTGCTGACCTCCTTTGACTTCTTTATTTAAGGCGTCTTACCTAGTTCATTTGTGTTACCGGGGGTGTGTTATTTACTCCATAACAAGATAATAACCTAACCTGACCACCAAAACAACGTCTACGTTCCATGCGATGGTGTCTCTATGGGTTCCGTACATTTAGTAATTGTTATATAACTAATTTAGAAAATAATGTACTTAATAGCACAAAAATTCGCTCCATTTATCTAAGATATGTAAATGACATTCTAATTTTAGTGAAAGACATAGATGAAATACATGAACTAGAAGAAAACGTTAAAAAAACCCACTGTACTTAAATTCATATATGAACTTAACAAGGACAAAAAACCCCGTTCCTCTATGTCTTGATAGACAGTTGGAATAATAATACATTTACTACCTTTCCTTATAAAACAAAAACAATTAGTATAAACACGTGCACCAGAAAAATGAATGTCCCAACAATTAAAATATAGCTATTATACGAAACTTTAAAAAACCATGCAAAATCAAATTCTTTATCAAAAAAGATTTTCTACACTGAATTAAAAATATTAAACAAACCCTCATTAATAATGACTTCCCTAATTACATTGTTAATGAACAAATTAGACAAGCTATTAGAAACATTAACATAAATAATAATGAATACATCAAATTACTATATCGTAATCAAATGCATTCCAACTATAAACAGGAGGTAAACATTCTTTAAAAAACGGATAAATACTAATATATCTTCCACTGATTCAAGTAAAAAAATAAAATTAATTATAAACTATACTAAATTTAATACAACCAACCTAGTTATCCAAAAGAATTCTTCTCCGCCTACTAGCATCTTGCAAAAGGCCAGCTTTGTATATCAATTTAAATGTCATTTAGGAGATTATATCTCTGATAAAAATGTCAATATGTACGTTGGTTTTACTACGACGATGCTAACAAAATGGCTTACATTACGGGCTGAACAGAGCTCAATACATCTGCACTGAGAGGAACACTCACGCTAACACTCACATATTAGACGGATATTAGTTAAAAGTACAGCTATATTACATAAAAATAATAAAAATCAAAAACTAAAAATCCTTGAAGCCCTTTATATAAAAGAGTTAAAGCCCCAAATAAATTCAACTATGAGTATAGCAACAAAGACCTTAAGTGATTATGAAAAAAATTTATTATAGACGTATGAACAAAAACAAAAAAAGTCACTCCCCTTACATTAAAAAACCCAAAAGAACAGGTGAACTTTGAACTTTGAACTTTGAAACCTAGAACGTTGCATAAACAGTAAAAACAACAAAAAAAAACAAACAAACGAATAGTTGAAATGTTTTAAATTCACAGAAATACATATATATATTCACAGAGAAATTAACCTCCTGAAGATGGTCTCAGATGAGATTGAAAGTACTTGAGGAAATTTAAAATATTTGAGAGAAAATTTTGGTATTTTTCTTACACAATTTTCTATATCTACCAAAAAATTAATCGGCGAACTTGAAAGTATCACAACGAAAACTAATCGACATATGTCTAAATTATTTAACCAAATTTGTTTAAATGAACACATGCTGCCTAAATATACACAATATATATATATATATATATATATATATATATATATATATATATATATATATATATATATATTTTTCCCAGTTTTTGAACAGGAGTAGAGGTTTATCCGTTGTTTTCTGTGAAGGATTGAGTTTCTGTCTTCTCATCTTCTAGCACGCCAAGTCACATTTAGCGTCTTAGTGATATTATCGCCTTGCTTGCGGTACAATATATATATATATATATATATATATATATATATATATCTGTGTGTGTGTTCTCTCTAACAGCTTCTGGCTCGTTTTCTTACCATTTCCTCGCAACGTGGCATTCAATTATTAGCAGAATTTTACCTTCACTATCCTTCGAAATTAGCTTCTGATTTGATTAGCCGTTTCTTGGATCATTGTACACAGGTGATCCCTGATATTTTCTTGAGTTTTCTCTATTTTGGCTTCAGGTGTTCAATATATTTATTAGGATTATTATTTATTTGTTTTATTTATTTTCTTTCATCTAATTTATATTCTTATCCTTCTCGGCTTAATCATTTTTCTCCTTCACTCTTGCTATCTTTTTGCTTATATTGTTCTTCTTGTATCCGCATTCTTCTTCTTCTTCTTCTTCTTCTTCTTCTTCTTCTTCTTCTTCTCATTCGTAAATATCAGCTTTCATGAAGAGTTATTTTTGTAAAATTCGTGCCCCTTTCTTTTATCTTCTCAGTGTCTCTTTTTTTCTTCTTCTTGTCCCCTTCTCCTTCTTCTCGTCTCTCCTTCTACTACTTTTTCTTCTTTTCTTCTTCTTTCTTTCTTCTTTCTTATTCTTCGTCTTCCCCTTTTCTTCTTCTCTATGCCTCTTTTCTTCTTCTTCTTCTTCTTCTTCTTCTTCTTCTTCTTCTTATTATTATTATTATTATTATTATTATTATTATTGTCCTTTTCCTTTTCTTTTTCTTGATCATTTCTTTCTTTCTTCTTCTTCGTCTTTTATTTTCTTCTTCTTCATGTCCTTTTTTCTTCTTCTCTCTTTCTTTTCCTTCTTCTTTATTTCACAAATTTTCTTCTTCTTTATTTTACACATTTTCTTTTTCTTCTACTGCTTCTTCCTTTCTTTTACCTTCCTTCATTCTGATATTCTTCGTCATCTTCATATCATCCTCTTGCGTGTAGCTTTTATCGACTTTTTCTTCTTATACATTCTCCTTTCTTGTACAATCCTTCGTGTACCCGCTTTCATTTGTCTACCATTTTTCTTTTTTATCTTTCTTTTGATATTCTTATTCCATCATGCACATACCTTCCACTTTTTTTATACATGCTCATTCTTTTTTTTTTCTTTCTTTGTTCTTCTTTCTCTGTTCTTCTTTCTTTGTTGTTTTTTCTTTGTCCTGTTTGTTTTTTCTTCTTCTTTTTCTTCTTTTTTATCTTGTCCCTCCTAATTCTTTTTCTTCCTTTCTTTTCTTCCTCTTTATTATTTCCTTTTGCCCTTCTTTCTTTGATATTTTTCTTCTTTCTACTCTTTGTCTTTTCTTCATCTTTTTCATCTTCCATACACCTATATCTTCTTTCGTGTTCCATTCTCTTTTATCTTTTCCTTCTTGTATTTTTTCTTTTTCCGTCATACTTATTTGTTCTTTCGATTCTTCTTTCATACACATATCGTCTTCATTCATGTACCTTTCTTCTTCTTCTTCTTCTTCTTCTTCTTCTTCTTCTTCTTCTTTTTCTTCCTTCCATTTATCTCTTTTTCATTTTCTTCTTAAACTGTATCACTCCCGTTTATCCTTCTTCCACCACCTCATCATTCCAGTAAATCCATCTCTATCTCTCTTTTCCTCCCTTGTTATTCTCTTTTTTGTTTTTGCTTTTTTTCTTCATAAAGTTTTAAACCTTTTTTCTTTCCTGAATTTTCCTAATTTGTCACGCTTATCACTCCTCCTCCGCACTCCGATTCAGAGCCGAAAGGAAGAATTGCCGAAAATAGATCTGTAATTGCCGTAAAATATCCGTAAATCATCGCTCAGCGGAATTCTAAGTCTGCCTAATTACGTTACATATACTTAGTTAGAATGAAAATTGACGTTAAAACGCGCACAATTTCCACTGGTCACCTCACTTGCCTTTTTATGCGTTTGTAACCTATTCGGATTTCTGTGCAGTTTGATGGCTTGACGATAATTGTACGACATTGGAAGCTGGTTGTAAACATTCTCATAATTATACTAAAATGGAATGCATTGGAGTTATACCAGTTGAGTTCCCATCCCCTTGTTGATGGCAAGATGATAGACGTCACGGTACCTCGGGATAAGTACATCGTAAAGACGGAGGAGGCGGAAAAAAAAGAGGTACTAGAACATCGCAGGGCAAAGCAGAGAAATATACCCAGCAACAGCTTAAATTGTACCTTTTATGGTCGTCTCACTGGTGACTATTCTCAAGCATCTTTCTGCTACGCAAGGCTCCCTGGGAACATCTGACATCATTGGAGGGGGGTGCGCAGGTGGTAGCATTCCTTGGAACATCTGATGAGAAAAGTGTTGGCTCCCTAATGTTCTTAATTATACAACAATGGAATGCATTGAAATGATACTATATGATCAAATTTCAAATCTAAAGAGTTTGACAGTATTATATTTATTACAAAATATACTCGTTTTAAGTATCGGAGTTTACTACTTATTTGAGAATGTTCTTAGGCAAAACATTAACATACGGCAGAAAAACGGTAGGACCGAAGAGGGCACTTCGATGGATATTTGCATTGAGCTCACGGACTCCTGGAAAATAAAACGAACGTCATAGATCTACTCGACAGGAAGGGTTTGATAATTAATAAAATTCTCACAGAAATGACATAGCTGTAGAGTTTGTGTGGATTTATTATAAAGCATGTCACTGATGCTACGATTAATGAAATTCAAGACATAAGCAGTGGACGTAAAGGAACGAAATCCATACTGTTTGTTGATCATGAAATTCTTTCTGTGGAGATAACAACATTTTTGTTGATGGTAGCCTCAATAATTGCCGATGACACGTAAGAGGGTGAAGAGGCGATATTGCGACGTGGATGAGCATTCAACCGCATTCTTTTTAAGGCATACAGTTTGCACGTACCATAGGCGTAAGGAACGCTTCTCTTTCTGGTAGCCGCTAAACAATTTTCATAAAGTCTTCGGTTAAGGTTCTTCAGAACAAACAGAGAAATAGAATAAATTCACAGCATTATTGACATATGTGTCTATTGAGAAGTCTCTTCGAAAAATAGATTAAAGTAATATATATATATATATATATATATATATATATATATATATATATATATATATATATAATATAAAATAAAAGTGCGCACATATGATATTTAAATAATACTCGATGCATAATAAAAGAGCTATATGTTATATGAAAATAAATACGCGTTTTCGTCACAGGTAACCCAACTCTTAATTTCATGCACAACTGCAATTTTCAGGTGTTGATTGAAAATAGATGGGGAAAAATATATATTATGTCTAATATAAAACATTGTCCAAATCGTGTAAAAGTATGGGATGATTATCTATCCCACAAAATGTTTAATATCCAAAAAAATAAATAAATAAACTAATTGAGTTTCCTTCTTACAGATTTCAGATAAGACGTTTAGCCACCTTGACGCCATTTGTCTTAAGAATCACAGAAAAAACCCATTGAGTTATTCAGCTAGAAAGAGAACAGGTTAAAATCGGTTTTTGTCAACCTCACTATGTCTTCCCGACTGCGCAATGTTGAAAGATCATTCAGGCCCTCAGTAAGGGTATCAACACATATACCCTGGCTCCCGTCTTCAATATCCATTCAAGAACCATTAAGAGAACGATGAATAAGTTTTAAAAGAGGGAATAGTAGAAAGGAAAACTAGAGCGGGATGTCATTTCAACTTAGAGCTAAATACATTCTTATCGTTCAAAATAGAGTCCAATATTTTTTAAATCTTGGACAATTATGCTATTATACTCGGAATATATATATATATATATATATATATATATATATATATATATATATATATATATATATATATAAGCATTACGCCCTTGAGCAAGGCGTGAAGCCACGAGGATGCAGGGGTTGCAGAAGATTTGGAGCGAGAGCTGATAGGAGTGATAGAAGAAAGGATGAGGAGAAGGATAGTGGATAGATCAAGGTAACTGGAGATGTCGATTGACATTAAATTTGAATAGCTGGAGATTATAGCTCTCAAGGAAACAGTAATTGGGAAGGGTGTTCCACAGGCGAGAGGTGCGAGGTAAGAAGCTATTGGAGTAGAAGAGACGGCTACATTTAAAAGTTTCTACAGTGAAAGGCTGAGAGCGGGATGCTAGCCTTGTAGGGCGCTTGAATTCATGAAGTCTGAGAACCAGTGAAAGCAGCTCATCGGAGCAATTACCATGAAAGTACTTGTAAAAAAGATACAGAGAGGCGACGGCGCGTCTGTGAAAGAGCAACTGTAGACGAGATGCCAGATTAGGGCCAATTATATTACATATCCGCCTCTGAATCTCCGAGGTAAACAGAAGGTGCCCCAGACCATATATGGCAGCAATACTCCATGCAAGGGCGAATGGTTGATTTGTATATTTGAAGTATCGATTCCGGGGAGAAAAATTTCCTGGCGCGGCACAGAGAGCCAACTTTCCTCGCGGTGGACGATGCAATTGACTCAATGTATTTCTTCCATCTCAGGTCAGCAGTCAACGCAGAGAGTTGCTCTCAAGAAGTTGACTATCAGACATTCTAATGGGGGGGCAGGGAAGGGTCACTATGGTGATTAACAGAGAGTAGTTTAGTTTTTGAGGCGTTATATAATTGTGTGTGTGCGCGCGCGCGTTTGTGTGTGTGTGCAGCGGCAGTCTGTTTCATGCTTAAATGCAATCTTCATAGAATGGTGCTTAAATTTGAAAAAGACTGTCGCCGCTGAGTGTCCTCAGTGTCCAGTTTTATATTTACATACACTATATGGGCATTTAAATTCGTAAATAATGTTTGCCCAATTTAATTTTGTTCTAGGAGGTGAATTATATTTTTAACTATAAGGTTAGAGGTTTTAAGTTTTTATAATAAATAATTAAACTAATTTTTTTTACTATTGTCAACTGATGTTATGTATTTTTTTTATAATGTTCTTAATTCTGCATTCATCCTGTTTATAATTTAGATGACCATTAAGGAATTATATTCCTGATCAATCAAAATTCGTAAATAATTATATAGGCCACACTACAACATATTTGACACGCAGATTAACTCTACGCCTTTCTGACAATAGCTCAATTAGATCTCATTTAAATATTCATGGAGACCTACCGGACACTATTCGGAACATACTTGTCGACAACACTAATATAATAGCATCATCTACATGCAAAAAAATGTCGAAAAATAATAGAAGCCTTATTAATAAAAACAAACAAACCAACACTTAATAATATTAACTTTGAACATGGACATAACAACTTGACTGTGTTTTGAGAAATAAAAAAAATGAAAAACATTTTATGAAACATACATACAACAAACTATTTCTAATTTTAACAGTTAAAATATTTAATCGTTGAAAATGGCTTAATGTATATCCGAAAGCGCACGGATAAAAAGAACATTCGGACAGTTTTTATTTTATCATCTGAAAAGAAAAAAAAATATTAGATCGCATGAGAAATTGTATAAAAAACTAAATAAAAGCAGCTTGTCTGTCGTTTTCAATGAAATGTGCATGAAAGAAGGATTGCTGTCTAAATACTATATATATATATATATATATATATATATATATATATATATATATATATATATATATATATAAGATAAAATATAGTATGCTATATTTATGGATAAAATTGCTCAATATCAGGAGTATCAAGAAATATATAAGTGGACACTGATGCCAACAGTCGGTGTTGACACTCGATTTACAGAATATATATATATAGAAACACACACACACACACACACACACACACACACACACACACACACACACACACACACATATATATATATATATATATATATATATATATATATATATATATAAATTGTTTGTACATTTAATGGCGACACCAGCTACAGATTTTAAGAAGTGGGTTGGGAAGAGAACTTTCCATAACTTCGTATAATCGAATTTGAATTTAATATGAAACGTTGTGTGATTATGTGCATATGAATGTATCAAGATTAAGAATTACTTTCAGACGTTTGTCTGCAAAATTCAAAGAATATTCATTTCGAAAATTTATAAACTGTTCTTTAAACGTATTTATCTAGTTCATCAATATTTGACGGTATATGATGATCACTTAACTGTGTTCGTATTCATTTGCTGAGTGAGCGCGCATGCGTAAATATTAGAATGCAGATGTCTGAAGCGCTTTAAATATGGGTGTATTCCTTTGATCCTTATCTTTATTCGCGTTACTCCAGTCTAGCTTTTTGTATTTGCTTACATTTTTTTTTCTGTGTTTTTCTTTATATTACCCTGCCTGTGGCGAAAATTTATATAGTGCCCCACATTAGTAAGCTTTCTTGACACCAGACGAATGATGGCTAGGGAAAAAGCCGATAATGAGTCTGAAAACAAAAATAAATATTTAAGAAAGAAGAAAATATATATATATATTTTTTTTTCAATGAAAACAAAAAATATGTTGCTTTGAAAACATGCAAAATTATAGCAAATCGGAAAACATTGTGAGTCATTAAATGAAAATTTGTCATTCTAGCCAAGTCATTGTTATTTGCTCTAGAAGAAAGTTAACGTAATATGTCAACAGTGTTTGCCTTGCAAAAAACGCAATTTGTTGATATTTATGAACTAAACATTTAATAACATCTTAAGAAGCGACTAGGAACTGAATTACTAACGAAATAAATATAACTATACAAATATTAGTATATAAGGTATTTTTATATAGCATTTCCTTTCAAGGCATAGTCGATTAAGTTTC